TATATATATATATATATATATTTTAATTTTTAAAACATAGTATAAAAATGCAAGATAAAGTAAATCGATACAGATTCAAGATACATACTGTAAATTGGACAGAAAAAGAAACAAAAAAAGAGAATTATAAAGAAAAATAATAAAAATACTTTGAAAAAAGGAAAAAAAAGGGAATAAAAATAGAGAGATGGTTTGATCCTATATCAGAGAAAAGGGACGGTTCAAGTCGGTCCAACGATTCGTGCGTTCGGTGGAGAGAAGTTTGCATTCGGAGTAGGCAGGTATAACTCCTGGGAGCGGAGCCTATTTTGTATAACCAGTTCCGCCGGAGTAAAAGATTTACGATCATGCTTTTCATCTCTCTCTCTCTCTCTTTCTCTCTCTCATTCTGACTAACTTTCTGTCTCTGTCTTTCTCACGCGAGAAACGCAGGCTTCTACAGCAATCCACTACTACACACGATTCCTCTCCACCTCTTTTCCTTTTCCTTCTTCTTCTTCTTCTGCTTTAGCTTCTTTTGCTTGTTCTTTTTCTTCCTCGTGGTTCTGCTTTGAAGAACCCTAAGACTTTCTGCTTTACTCGCTTCGCGACTTATCATCGTTCGGCACTCGGCAACTTATCGACGTTTCAACTTCCACGCACGAAGGACGATCCGCTACTGCGGAAGGAAATGTTTACGTTCCTTCAACTTAATCCCTTCTTCTTATTCTTCTTATTCTCTTTTTACATCATCCCATCTTCTCGACTATGTTTCTATTTTCTATTATTTTATTATTTATTTTTCCCTTTTTTTTTTGGACGTATTCACGATCACACAGTAAGATCATATTTTTATTTTAATAGTAGACGAAATGTTTTAATCAATGTTTAATCATATTTGAAAATTTTTGAATAAGTCAATTTTATGATACGATAAATTAATCATAAGTTTAATTATATATATCATCGTAACTATTCTAAACAAAAGTATGATGTCATATTTTAATAAAACACATAATGATATGATTTTAATATTTAAATTTTATATAAAGTTCAATGTGAAATCAAATTAAATATACAAAATTCGTGTAATGTGATTCAATATGATTATCGAATTGGTATGAAATGTTCCACTTTAAGATACGAATGACGTCGTCGTAAAGATCGCGTGATCGAGGCTTATAAAACCTTCCTTTTTCTTTTTTTTTTTTTTTTTTTTTCATTTTTTTCCCCTACACTTGTCTTTTTTAAACACGAACGAGATCTCGCACACATTTGATACTAAATTACCGGGACTCTTAATGAAACACCGTAATATGATTAAACATCTTAAAGGAGAAAGAACATGCACTCGATGCACGTACACTCCACATACACACACATACAACCCATGCACATTACACATACATACAATATATATATATATATATACAGTATTTCATGAAATTGTTGAACGTAATGGAGAATAAGAAGAAATCCAACGTCGATGTAACGAGACAAATGGATTCACCGAGCCGTTGAAATGCCTTTTCAATGCGTGAAACAGAGAGAAAGGTCGGCCGAGCCTTCGATGCAATTTTGCGCGAATAACAACGTTCATTCGTTCATTCGTTCGATCGATCGATATCGTCGATCTCGAACGCGTGAAATCTTAACAGAAATCTATAAATCAAATCGAAATATAATAAATATCAATACGTTTCGTATATATGTTTAACCCAAAATATCCCTTCTTATCTTTATCCTTTAAAACAGATATTAACAATTATTATTATTATATTTAATTAACATTCGATTATCTTTCGAAAATTAAAAACTAATATTAGAAAAAGAAAAACACATAATAACCTAATAAATCCTAGAATCGATTTAATGCACGAACAAGATTGCATATAATATTATATAATATTATTAATATAAAAAATATAATATAATATATAAAATTGATCTTTTCATTTTTGTTTTAATCAAACGTAGAAAACTAAACGAACTTTCGTGGGGTGTAGGGGGGAGGGGGAATACGAGATATCTCCGAGCCGGTTCCGAGTAAAATAATAATAATAATAATAATAATAATCGTACGGTTAAGAGAAGTAAAATACTATGAAAGATTGAACAGAGACTGATCGACGGAAATCCGCTTAGAATAGAGGAAAAGCAAGTTGTGCGAAGGGTAGAGAGGGCAGAGGGGAGGAGGTCTTAGTGATCTTAGGGATCTTACGAAGCGAGAGAGAGTGAGGAGGGGGAGGGGGACAGAAAGGGGGAGATTGTGGTGAATCGAACAGCCGGTGTCCCGTCGGCATGAAAATAATTACTAGACTAATAGGTAATAGAGCTAGAATTTATAGTAGAATATAGCCATGGATACCTGTGTACCTGTACGCAAGCCAAACGGAAGACTTTGTCGTTAAGGTTTAAGCATAAGGATAATTGCCGATATTATTTATCGATTGAAAATGGCGGCTCTCTCTCGGTTAGCCTTTTCTTTTTTTTTCCTCCTTATTTTTTTTTCTTAATTTTTTCATATCTTCCCTCTCCCTCTCCCCCTCACCCCAACCATTCTTTTTTTTCTTTTTTCTTTCTCCGTTTAACGTTGAACGGAAGTTCGGCTCCTTTGCTCGGTCCTCCCCCCCTTGTCCTCTCCTCTCCCCACCCCACCCTCCCTCCTCAGGGAGAGAACATTTTACGATCCCTTTTCTTGTACTTTCTACGCGCCTTTAAAAACGAGAGATAGAAATATAACCATCGCGTAATGGAATTCGTGTTAAGATTTTCTCGAGAAAATATTATCTTCGACGATTTTATACCGATTATAGAAAACGGATATCGTCGATGATTCCTTCCACCTTCGTTTGGAAAATATTTTAACGATAGTCCTATTAGTCAAATTCTACTTAAAGAAAAAGAAAAAGAAAAAATCATTTATTATATATACTTGGGTGGTTGAGAAGTTCTTTTCTGTTTTTTTTTTTTTTTTTTTTTTTAGAAACCACCGGTTATATTTGAAATATATTTGTTCGTTATTCAATTATCGAATTCTTGTATTAAGAATTTATAAAGACGGGTAGAGAAGTGACGTGAATAAATTCTATATATATATATATAGAATGATATAAAATTAATTAATAATCGTTAGATAGATTTATTTCCCCTAGTTTTTATTAGTGTACACAGGTTTCATTTATTCGTATTAAATAATATACAAACTGATTCAATTCGTATCGTAACTTTTGCGCGTTAAGAATGAAATACCGATGAAAGTGAGATTAAAAATATTTACGATAACGCGTAAAATAAAAATCGATTTAACGTACGGTGGGGGTGGGGGCTGGCGGGGGGGGGGGGTAGTTTGTCGCGTGAGTTTGCTCGTTAAACGATTTTGTTTTTCTTTTTTTTTTTTTTTTTCTCTTTTTTATCCCCCTTCCCCTTTTTTCATGCACTCTCGGGTGCAGGATCACCGTAATTCGAGAAGCACCGTTCCAGCAAGCCAGTTTTCAGTGTGGTGGTGGTGGTGGTGGTAGTGGTATTGGCAGAAATGGCAGCAATGGCAGAAATGGCAGAACGCGTTGGTGGACGATAAAGAGCAGTAAAACATGAATCTCGTCCGACCCCTCGGAAAAAAAGGGCTCCAACTTTAATTTTCCCTCTACGCGTTCTGACATATAAGAGCCCTAGAGGGTTGGGGTTCTACCTCGTCGTACAAAGTAATGGCGCCGATCTCGCTCGATGGACCGTCAAAATGGACGTTGGGCTATTTCGTTCGACGAACTTCCACCGTTCTGTCGCGTAAATACGAATTAAAACATACGTCCGATGGTTAAACTCGTTAAAGGTCTTACGGGAATAATTTTTCAAATTATTTTCACCCTTCCCTTCCCTACCGTACCTTTCTTTAAATCGATTAACAGTCATTCGTTTTTCTATATTGCATTATATTTTTGTTTATTTTATAATTAATAATTTATATGTTCAAATTATTAATGTGTATGTTTTTAACAAGAAATATAGAACTTAAGTTTCACATTTAATTTTAAATATATATAAGATTATTTTATATAACCAATATAATAATAAAATGCAGATCGAAACTAAAGTTGCATCTATAGAATAATTTTATTTAAACCACGGTATCTTGATTTTTTTCAGCAATGGACGTTTACAAACTAAGAGAAAAATATAAGAAGAATAATTTTCAAGTATCATAATCTCAAGGCGTTTCATATCCAACGCAATATTACCCTCTCTCTCTCTCACAGTTAGCTTAGGTTAATTATTTCGTGGAAAATGTGACTCCGATCGTGCGTTAAATTGTACACTGGGATCGATTTTTCCAAATGAAACTGAGTTTCACGTGGTAAAACACGTAGGAAGTTAGGTAGGTAGGTAGGTACCTTACGTAGAAAGGTAAGTACTTACATAGAACTTACATACATACTGTACAGTATGCTACGAGACATAAGGAACGGAAGAGACCGGACCGGTTATAAAATGTGTTAGTGTGCGCTCGCGAGCGCAAGTGCACGTACCTCGCACGACTCCGCGTAATTGCGCGCGAATGTACAACTTCTTTAACCATAAGCTACCGAAGGTACACCAAAGAAAAATAAAGAAACAATCTTTCCATGTGTGCGTACGTGTATTACTGTTCATCGTTAAAATGAAATCCGATGCAACTCTACGGGGTCAAAACTAAACGCACTAAAGGGAATTATTTTTTTCTTTTTGTTTTGCCAAAAAAATAATCAACGATATTTTATGAAAATATAATACAAAGTTAATTTTTGAACAAATTCTACAATAAAAAGAACAATTATATCACCACAGTCGTATATGTACATACCTATATATATGTGTGTACATGTGTACGTATATTTCTACATCAGTTTTAAAGAGAAACTAGCTTATCGAAGACACGACGAGCGATTATTAGTGCTCGTTTATACCAAGGCAAAGCGTATCGTTTGCTACTATACTCTCTTCATGATGATGAAGAGAGAGAGAGAGAGAGAGAGATGGTTTGGCATGGGGGAGAAGGAGAGGGATACTAGAGAGAGGCCAGTTTGTCGCACGTGCGACCGTGGGAGCTTATGCGAGCGGTGCATCTCTACAGCATCCCTGTTATTTATGGCTAACTATCTTCCGTCCCTTTGGACTATGCCGGTAATTAAGAACCCAACTGTCACTGACCGATGCTTTATTGAACATCCACGAAATTACCAAGGAATTATGTTCCTTCTTTTTTTTTTGTTATATTTATTTATTTGTTTTCTTGGTTTTTTTTTATTATTATTATTATATCCTTTCTTTCGTTCCGATAATTTTTCTTAGATTTCTATCACTACGCGTATACTTTTATGCGTGTATTTTGATAAATATTCATTTATATTACCTTTAAGTTATTTTTTTGTTTTATACTTTAAACGAAATAATTAACATCTCGCGTAAAGTTTGATGAAGTATTAATTGATTATTGTATATCATTTTTCTTTCGACTATCGTTGCATAAATTCTAAGATGTTTTTTTACAAAATTATGTGAATAAAATTGATTCGTTTAAACGTTCATTGATATTAATTAATTTGATATTGTAACACATTAATAAAATGAAAAAAAAAAACAAAACGATGGTTTGAATATTGAAATCAAATGAAAAATAATAATGAAATATTTCAATGATACATATACATCTATTTTCCCCTTTTTTTACATTGTCTCTAATCGCGTATTAACAACATCATTATTATAATTATATATATTTCGTTTGGTATAGTTAATCGAGAGTTCGAGTTCGAGTTTGATTTCGATTTTCTGACTCCCTTCCGAAATTCGATATCTCGACTATCCATTTGTGTAGTAGAGCTAAATCATTCAACGAAACAGTGTTATTAGTCGTGAGCTCGATTAATCGTGCCACCGGCCATTAGTTCGTCCGATCGTTCGGCGTAAACGCGTGTGTCCTAACTGGAAACTCGAGTATATAACCAATGTATATAACTTCCATCCAATTCTACACATATACATATAAATACATAGAAATATATATATATAAAGTTACGCATATAGGAACATATCCGATTTGTCGTTAAGAACGGGATTTGCGGTGTAATGTCGTAAACGAAAATCGTGTTCACGCGTGGAATTACCGAAGTTATAACTGAGTTTTCTCTCTCTCTCTCTCTTTCTCTCTATAGTATTCTTTAATATGCATGCATTTTTTATTAAAACGAAATAATATTAGGGATTTAAAAAGGGATTTATCAATTGAAAATGAATTTGAAAAAGAAATAATGAAATAATGATAGATGAAATGAAATGAAGAAAACAAAAATCCTATAACGAAGAGAGAAAAAAATAATAAAATGATGAAGAGAGATAGAGAGAGAGAGAATGAAAAAGACATTATAATAAAGAAAAGAACACACATTATTGTTAGATACGCAACGATAGAAATAAAACTTTGTTTTGTCGATGGTTGGCGTGAAAGTTAGTCGAGATAGAGGATGTAGGATGCGTTCATATGTGAAGAGCGTGCAGAATGCTCATGCAACGTTGACCCGGTCTGACCCCGAAAGAGATAGAACTAAGTAACTGCCTCCGTGTTAGAATTTTCAGTATCCTGTTTAAAACCGAAATCGTATTTTATTAAATAAATAGATAAAACTAATCTTCGATTATATCATCAAAATCACACACACACATATATATTAATATTATTTTTTATTATAATAAATATCCACATTGAAACGTTGACTGACAAGTATGATCAACGAAGGACGAATCACGAAACAATATTGACAAGGACGATGACGATAATGATAATGATGATTGGTAATGGTGATGATGATCATATTATTGATGGTGTAAGTGATTCGTGTAGGTTTGCGAGCACATCTCTTAGGATATTTTACTTTCACCTTTCGAGAACCAAACGGAACCCAAGAGAGAGAGAAAGAGAGAGAGCCTCGCCCATCAACGGTTGCTTGCTTGCTTGTGCAACGAACTCTACGACCTGGTTCCCATAACTGTTCCAAGTACACGAAAGGGGGATCATCCAGAGGGCTCGCCGGAAGGTTACGCGCGAGATATACAAGCTCGATTAAAATGCAGAAGGGCATCGTTGAAAAGGCGCCGACTGCGATAACGCGTGTAATTTTTTTTTTTAACCTGCACAGCCCAAATAAAAAATCCTTTTATATGTATATATATATATATGCGTTTATTTGTCTAGAATATCACGAGAAATATTATTTTATCTTCTAATCCTATCGTCTTTTTACCTCTTTTACCTCCTTTTTCTTACATTAAGTTTTCATTCTCCTCTTGTCTCTCTATGTTTCTTTCTAAAGTTTAGAATCTTCTTGATTATCATAATAGAATAATATCATGTTTCAAGAGAGTATATATATATATAATACGTATTCAGTTTTATTCTTTTACCACATCTTTTTATTCGATCGAATCTAATCATTTCTATGTATTTCTAAGATCATTAAGTTTTAAAGATATTTTAACCTAAGTTAATACGTTCATTATTTAACCATTATTTATATTATCGTTGAAAAAAAAAGTGTAATTTACAGGCGTCATACGTTATATGGATTATTCGTGTAAGGTGTCCCCGACATTTAAACTTGCAGGGTTTGCTTACTTATTCATTATCCTTCTCTCTCTCTCTCTCTCTCTCTCTCTCTTTTTTTCTCTCATAGATCTAAGACGAATTCGCGCGTCGTTCGATCCAAAGGCGAAAACGCTTCTAATCGACGACGATCTTGCGTAACGGATTCTCCTTACGTGCTGTACGGTTAACTACTAACCAGCATAAAGTACACTTCGTGTCTGAGAACTTTATTGCATCTTTCCTCGAACAACAATTTGAATGTCTATCTCGACCACCGGAGTATCTCGAGTATAAAATTACTAATGTTGAGTAAGGAAACCGCTCAGTGGAAGCCTTCTCGAGTCGTACAATACGTGACTTCATTATCCCTCTCTCTCTCTCTCTCTCTCTGTTTTTTTATTTTTTTTTTCTATCTTTATCTGTCTCTGTCTCTCTTCTTTTTCTCTTTCCCCCTTTGCACGCTTTCACTGGTGCGAAAGCCGAATATTACGCAATTCCGTTTCGTCCAAAGTAAATCCTTTTGATGGTTTCAAATTCGTTCAATCGATCTTCTACTAACGAACTTTTATATCTAATGAATATCATAATGTTTCTAAGGTCTTATCTAATTTATCGTACGAATAAAATATTCGGAAAGTTAGTTGGGAATGTTTTAAATGATTTAAATGAAGAATATCTCTATGTTTTTCTTGATTATTTTCTAATTTGGATTGAGATTGTTTATATATCCCTGTTATATTTAATGTTAAATTTACGACAATTAAAAAATATATTGTTGAAATATTAATAGGATAGAGAAATATAATTGATAAATAAAAGCGTAAATTGTGTTACATTATTCGAATAAAAATTTGTCAAAATATGATGCATAATTTGATCAAATTATTCGAATAATTTTATCTTATTAATCTTACAGAGAGACCGGATATAATTTAATATATAATAGAATTCTGGACAGTCAAGATTTGAATGGAACGAGCTTAATAGTATATAAATCGTTTGGGTAGCAATTGAAAAATTCAATTCTTCTTAAAATATTATAGGAATAAACGACGCGGTGAATAATTTAATAGCGATATTATAAGGTGGGATATGCATAGACCGGGGGATAAAAATTGTCCAAGTAAATAAATTGACGTTGGTAGGTATGTAACTTGCAAGTCCGGATCACCCACGCTGCTTCTCGTGCTATTTGCGAATCGTTTGTCTGTGGCAATATTACTTTGGCGCCTGTGAGAATCTAAGTTTTACATTTTCTTAATAAAACATATGTGTATTAAAACTATGACACATTAGCAAACCAATGACTTATTGTTTTTCCGTAATATCCTTTAATCATAAATCAAAGATTTCGTAATATTTCCTCATCTCGTCGAAGAATAACAACGATTATTTATTATATATATATATATATTTTTAGATTGATGTAAAATTGAAACCCGTTAGCGAGAAAGAAAATCGACGAAAAATGAAACATTAAAAACATAATTCAATTAGTTTCTCTAAGTAGAACACACATTAAAAGAACATTACGTTTTTTTTTTGTCTCGATGATAAATAACAAACGACTTTTTTATCCTTTTTTTACATTTAGAATCTAGGACACTTCGAACGATCATGAATTTGTCGAGTTTTATAATTGCAACTTCTCGGTTTTTTTATTTTTTTATTTATGCAACTATTAAATTGCGGTCCCTTTTATTTCGTCTTCATTTACTTCAATTGAACTACTTATTTAAACGTAGTACACATCTTTCTTCTAATCGAAATATATGATCTAGAAACGGTGAATAATTTTCTTCTCGATTGCATCGTATTATTATCTTTACGGTATAATAGAAAAGTAAAGTATGACGAAAAATACTGACTTTGATTTTTCCATTTTTAAATACGATGCTTACAAATGATTGAGTTGTTTGAATGTACAAAACAAAATATTACATAAATCAATTTGATTTTAATTAATTCCACAATTGGGCTTCTTTTTTGTTTTTTTAAATTAAATTAACATAAAACGATTAACGCAACGAACCGTAAAACTTATCGAATTTATGGTTTAAACTATTGTTCGATATGAAATAATTTAAATGAAACAAAACCTTAAGGATAGAAATGGTAATTGACATTAAAATAAAAATCAAATACAAGAATCGTACAGGGGAAAACCTTTAAACGAACTTTTTATATTTTTCTGTTTTGCCTGTTAAAAGACTTATCTCTCTTACTGTTTCAATCAGGATTGATTAATGCCTTAGGAGGTATTTGGAAAGGAGTAGTCGAAGAAACG